TAGCTCCATTCATTCCCTGGGGGTCATGATTTGAACAAACTTGAATCAGCACTGACTGAGATCATCTTCTTCCATATATATATATATATATATATATATATATATATATATATATATATATATATATATATATATATATATATATATATATAATCATGGCTTTGCTGTTCAAAGATTTAAAGATTTTTCTCTATCATGTATTCCTACCAAAAAATTTGATTCTCCATTGTGGCCCCACCTTACCCCTGGGAGTCATGATTTGAACACATTTAAGTCTACAATTCTATAATACCTGATAATGCTTCCGTCTCAATGTAACTAATCATGGCTTTGTTGTTCTTGAGAAGAGGATTTTAAAAGATTTTTCTTATATATATATACCGATGTAAAAATTTGTTCACACATAGTGGTCCCACTCTACCCCCGGGGTCATGATTTGAACAAACATGAATCTACACTATAGCAGGAAGCTTTTTTTAAAAGTTTCATCTTTTCTGATCCAGTGGTTCTTGAGAAGAAGATATTTAAATGACCCAACCCAATTTTTACTATTTCTTAATTATCTTCCCTTGCAAGAGGGTGCGGCCCTTCATTTAACAAGCTAGAATTCCCTTTACCCAAGGATACTCTGTGCCAAGTTTAAATTAAAATTGGCCCCAGTGGTTCTGGAGAAGAAGATGAAATTGTAAAAAAAATTTACGACGACAACAACAACGACAGACAACGGACAAATTTTGATCAGCAAAGCTCACTTAAGCCTTCAGCTCAGGAGAGCTAAAAGATTAAAGTGCCAGAGGAACCAAATTTTGTGGTGTTAGAAAGTTTTTAAAAAATGATCAATTATTTACAATACTGTAAAGTTTAAGGTTCCTTTAATTTCTTGCCAAATGCACTTTGATTTTTTATTATATAGATATTTTCTCTCGGTCCCAAATTACAAATTATATAAACGGTTAATGTTTATAGCAAAAAGTGGATCAGGTAATATTTTATATTCCGAGAACATTTTTTAACATTAAGGTTGAAGCTTCACAAAAAGCAATATGGCTTCGGAGTATAGATTGTAATATTCTGCACATATTCCAAGATTGTACCATAAAGTGATGATTCCCCCTTTATAATTCTTAGAATGCATGGTTTTGCTTCTGTACATTAAAGCAAGTGGATTTGGGGCTTCTTCCCTAACACCCATTCTCCAAAATAAATTTGTTATCGGTAATCATTATACTTCATCTTTGTGAAAACCTGGATCCGCCAACGAATGATGAATATCAAAACCAGACATCTTGATTAAGGTATCCAACCATAACAACCTCAGACTCAATGAAATTGAATGCATAATTTTTTTCTTGCTTAAAAATTATGCAGGTCTAGATGCACAAGCTACAAGCACTGCTTTTCTGTCTGGTCATGGTCTGCGTTAGATGCCAGTTTCCGGTTCCGTTTGGTTTCCAGACAAACATGATTGGACCAGGGTTCCCGTTACCCTCCACTTTAGATCAGAATGGACTAGGGTTCCCGTTTCCTCCAACATTAGATCAGAATGGACCAGGATTCCCGTCACCCCCCGCTTTAGATCAGAATGGACCAGGATTCCCGTCACCCCCCGCTTTAGATCAGCCACCTGTACCGATGATGAGAGGAAAAACTTTGATGGAAGCAATGAAGGAGGAGAAAAAATCGAATGTTTACGTCAATGCTTTCAAAAGGGAAATTCTGAAAAATTTTAGTAAGCAATCTTTTAAAATATATACATGTATTAATTAAAGATACATTTCTTTCATTTCCAAAATATTAATAAGGTGCGCGAACAAGGCGAACAATATGCTTATTAGCAACAATTAAGAAGTGAAAAAATAAATCTCAATTATTACAAAATTTTCATTGATAATTCATTTAACATTGAAATATACTTTATGCTAAATCTCAACAAATCGCACAATCTCCAAAAAATTGAAGTAATTCATCTATGAAAAAGCATATAAACATCTAAGAGGGCAAAAATGGTCATTTCTTCATTATAGAACACAATTTTTCTATATGAGTAGGTCTTCGCTCCATGTTTTTTTTTTTTTAATTTTATTATCATTATTTTTTTTTAAAAGATTATACTCAAAGAATGCTCATTAGTATACATTCTTCGGTTAACAAAAACATGGAGCAAAGACATATTATATGTAAAATAACACTTTTTACTGAAAGTCCGCATTTGTTATGAGAGTATAGCGTAGTGATTAGCGTGTTAGTCTCGAAGCGAAAATTAATAATCACGGTTTTTGTTGCTTGGGTTCCAACCCCCTAAGAAAACCACCTTTTTATATCATAGAATGATTTTTGCCAAAACAATCCACAAAAAAGTTTTGTTTGTAATAATATCATACTTTTCAATTATAAGAACCTTACTCTAAATACTAAATTCACAAATTATATACGATTTATATAATTGAAGCTATAGACATCAAATCAGAATACCTTGACCCTTAGGGATGCAGAAGTTAAATTCAAAAATATATAAAATCTTCATTAACTTACTATGTTAAAAATTAATAAACCCAACCTTGCAACTGAAATTTGTTAATCAAGTTTGCTGCACGAGGAACCCAATTCATAAAAGTTAGATAACTCGTTTCAAAAACTGCTCGTCAACATTCAAGGAGAGTGAACTGTGCAAAAAATTTGCATTCCTCGATAAATGCATTTGGATATACATGTATATACAGATATATATAAACTTGAACAAAGGTCAAGAGGAGATATTCATAGTTCATGTTTTTTTTTCTGATTTCAGTGGTAGATCAAGTAAATTTATCTGCATGTACCGTTCCATTGGATAACCTTGCAACTAATATGGGAATGTCGAAAAATCCTTTCCGCTTCTTTATCACGAACGAATTGTGTGAAGAATGTGAGTATTTAGATCATTATTATTACTAGTATAAAATAATTTAATAAAAATTTGGTTTCAACATTTCATGTAATAACATTTTCAATAAATATATTAATAATTATACAGACACGTAGTATACCACCCCTTTTTTCCAAAGATAACATTCTACCATTGAAACTGCAGGTTGTTGGCACTTTTGTTGTAGTAAAGTAAAATCATAATGATCTGATAATGCATGAAAAAAAAATAAAATTAGGTTCTTCAAGAAAGTTTAGTAAGTCGAAACGTAGATTTACTGGACCAATTCCAACAACTGTATTTGTTTTACAATGCCTCTTGAAGGAGGAGATAATTTTTAGTGAAACGTTATTTAAAATAGATTTCTTAAAAAATTATAAACAAAAAAAGGCCATTGAGTCAATCATTTTTTATGTGCACGTAATGTGACTTAGGGTCGTGTAGATTCTGTTTCCAGGGCCACAAGAGAAGTTTAAAGTTTCTTCTGAAAATTAATTAAGGTTATACATGTAGGTAATGAACATGCACATGTCCTTTACAATATACCTTTCCTAATGATAACATTGCAAGCTAATTCTTAATTTAAAATCGAAGAATTATTATATATTACATTACCAGGAGTTCTGAATGTTTATCAAATGATAAATATCGTTATGTTTTTTTTCTTTTTAAGAAAAAGCTATAAAAATATATAGTTTTAGCTAATATTTGTATCCATAATTTGATTCAGAAGAGGTGTACAGCATTACTAAACCTCATAAAATCGAACAGAGGTCCCTTAATTTTTATTATATATAGGGAATAAGAAAAATAAAGTTCAAAGCTACGTCGTGAATGTCCACAATCAAGCATATAAAGTTTATCAAAAATATCCCTCCAAATTTAAACAGCACGTAAATTAAGAGTTTGTCATCGTGATATGTTTGACGAACTAATCCACAGCTTGTACGGTAATGCTATGTTGTATTTTCTTTCCAGTTATGTTCCGACTAATTGTGCCGGCTGCCAAGAAAATGCTCACAGGATAAACCTACAGAAAATGTTTACAAATAAATGGAAAAACCGCAAAATATTAAATAAATCTTAGAAATTCTGTGTTTGTTCATTTTTATGTTTATGAAGTTTTATAAACCTATAAAAATTAAATATTTTATGATCATGCAGAATTAAGCATAGTGCATCATGTTTTACATGGCTGCAACCCTAGCAAAAATACTAAATTAACTATAGTTTACTATAAATTCAAAGTTTTTACTATCATAATGATAAATCAATGTAGTTTTACTATGGATTTGAGATTGCTGTAGTATCAAAGTTTTTTTGTGTTTTTCTGGTTCAAAGATATACACGTTTTAATAATATTAAATGGAGCATTTACTTATATAGCAACGTTTCAATTTCCAAATTTTATAAAATTGTTATCGAATTTAAAACAATTTAAAGCTTCAGTCTCTCTCTCTCTTTTTTTTTTTTTTTAAATCACTTTTGTAGCTCTTCTGCCAGTTTTTTTTAAATATTTGCAGTTGTCCTAGTTAGAGAAAATGAATGTCATACACAGTTATATTAAATATTTATCGGTGATCTGTGAAAATTTATTACAATATAGATACATTAATCATATCAATACCTAGCTATTAGTCAGCCAGTCAAACAGGTAAATCAATGCAATTTTGTATAAGTGCACTGGCCATTAGAGAGAAACTTCTTCCTCATTGCGAAACAACATATGGTAATGTGTTCTCACTCTCCGCGAGATGTAACTTCGGGTAACTCCGTGATGAAAGGTCAGCGCTGGCTAATGAGAGGTTCGAACGGCTCCGGTCGACTTCGTCATTCCCGAACTGCTGTGGTGACATCGCTTTATTGTGGTGGTCCGTATTGGTCGATTAAGGTGTAAAAATGACGAATACTGCATATTTTCTTCCGCAAAAGATACAGTCATGTTTATTACATATTCCTCTATTACAAAAACTCTATATATATATAAGTTTATCTCTTTCTTCATTTACACAGAAAATATCCGATACTTAGACCAAAGAATATTACAGAAGGATAAAATCATATTATTTTACATTTATATAAATAGTTGATAAAAATGAGTGCTGCTTGGCTTTTAATAACAATATGCATTGTTTCTTCATTCTTACCATCTGTTCGAACAAACGACTATAGCTGGAGCCAGGGAACAAAGCAATATCACAGCCAATTACCATATGGAAATGGCCTGTCTGTTCAGGCCGGAAATTCCTATGGGAAAACGTATTCCGGGAATTATGGGAACGGGATATCAGGCACAAGATATGGCTATTCAACTAGTCCTCAAATTGGAATTGTATTACCAAAGACTTTCGGATATGGATTTATGGGGTATGATATGCATTCTCTGCTCGGAGGCAGCTTCTATGATATGATGGGATTTGCTCTTCCACAAACTTATGGACTTCGAGGCATTTCTTACCTTCATCCCCAGGCATTGCTTCAAATGCAGCCAATTTATAACTTATATGGATATGGAATGTATCCCTTCTATAATTCATACGGTGGTCATTTTGACGTCTATCAGAGATATGGATTTAACAATCATCTATGGGGATATGGAAATGGACTCTGGGGAGGGTATCCGTCACAGATAACCATGCATGGACCTTTTGGTCCCAGAATCAGTCCTTTCTTTGGATACAAAGAACCAGGATTTCTAGAGCGCCTAGGATTTCATGGAATTTCAAAAGACATAGGTATTATTTTCAAATACACGCTTGTTTTTAATTTATTATATATTATAAGATGCAGTGACCTAAATACTGTCTTGAATTGCGATATTGAAATTGGCCATCAACACTAATTTAGGGAGATTTTTGATTAAAATGTTATATTTTATTATTTCAGTGACAGTTGTCGGTGGAGCTCTGCTGTTTGCAGGTCTTATGAAACTTGGTTAATTAACCTTCGATGTGATTAAAACAAAACAAACATGAACGCCTGTGATAAAGATTTATACACGTGTATTCTTATGGATATGTTACGTGCTTGTACAGATGAATTGCTTTAAACCTTTATTATGTTCATACATTTATTCAGGGTAGAAGTGCAGATTATATTGAATTTATCTTGATACATGTACGTTTTGTAAATTTGTTAACATTTATATTTTATATGCCTTTTTAGTAGAGTATTGCCCATTTTCTAAAAAGAACAGGGTTCAATCATAGAAAAAGGTATTTAATCTATCGTGCAGTTGTCAAATACTCTCTTGTAACTTTGCCAAGGATGTGTCCAAAGCTGCGTTTCCCTTAATTGATTTTTTTCTTTTTTCCTGAACAGAATTTTTTTTTTCAGTGTAGTTCATTAATTTTGTTTAAATATGACGTATTTAATGAAGTCAATAAAAGTCAACGTAGTAACAGTTTCTGATTTACTTGTATTTTCATTCATAAAAATATAAAAAAAATCAGAGAAGCACTAGTATTAACATGTGTAGATACATGTATAGTGACATTTGTCTTTCAATCTATTTCAGCTTAGTTTAAGAAATATGTTCCATTTTAGATAAGTTTCATTAAAGATATAAAATAACCAGGGAAGTCAAAGTCATGTGTTTCTTTTAAGATAATTATATCATAAAACAGAAGATTTGTGTGAATTACGAATAAAGCAAAGTTTTGACAACTCAAGTGCACTGTGAAGCAATAAAAGAACTGCAAAATATAAGTGTCGGAAAAACAAAGGTTGTGTCTATCGCGTGGTTGTTATCGTCAATGTCAACAGTGTCAAGGTCACACGTCTTTTTAGTCAACCCACGGGCTGACTAGTTATCTTACGAAGAATTTCAAATGCGCTTGCGTGTTCTGGAATTCTGGGAGGTAGACTGGTACCCTGACATTGGTTAACCTAGGGATAGTCTCTGCAACCAGACACTCGGCTGTCTCGACGAGCTCGTCGGAGTTTACGGAGACAGCCGAGTGTCTGGTTGGACGAGCGCAAGCGAATCTGGGCGATGTTGAGTAAGTCATTCCTGTTGATTTCGTTTCAGTCAAATCAGCGAATTCTCTATTTTAACATCATATTCCAATAAAATTCAAATACAGGTTAAAACAGTAAGGCCTTTGGTGCAGATTTCTTCGGAAAAACTGCTTATATTGAGGTTTTGTGGTTTGCATTTTCAACAGTTTTATAATTTGATTCAACAGTTTTATAATTTGGTTCGCAGTAATTTAACTTGTTCGCATCTATTCATAAAACGTATGTTCTTAAAAATATTTTACATGTGTATTCAATTCTGCACCATAAATATTGGATTATTTCGGATTTTGAAGCTTTTCAGTTTTTATTGGTTTTACTTTCGTTTTCATTTAAAGCATTTCGATCCCGATGTTTATTACTCAATTGGCCAATATGATGTGTAAAGGCATGCAATGGATAGATCGGGAGAGACACAGCTTACTTCGCCTGCTACATTCTTTTTTATCTCACCTGAGCAGAAAGCTCAAGTGAGCTTTTCTGATCATCCGTCCGCCCGTCTGTCTTTCCGTTTGTCTGTAAACTTTTCACACTTTAACTTCTCAAGAATCACTTGGCAAAATTTAACCAAAGTTGGTACAAAGCATCCTTGGCTGAATGGGATTTAAAAATTGTTAAAATGAAGGACCAAGCCCCCTTACAAGGAGAGATAATCAAGAAAAGACAAAAAAAAACCCGAAACGCCAGCACCAGAGTTCATACTTAATCCTCTCAGAATAAACTAGGTATGAGCTGATGTTCGTAAACTATATTTAGATTTCAGTTTGCAGTTTGATGGATATATCTACATATGTAAGTTACTGCATTTTTTTTTTAAACTGACATCAAGTAATCGTTGAATTATTTCATAAAACGTCATTAATGAATTATTCAACCAAAACTTGATTTAAGTGATATAAAAGAAATAAGTTGCGATAATTGATTAAAAAACAAAATGTGCAAATCGTTTTCGTCATTCTTGACGGTAATTTCTAGAACATTATCTGGCATCGAGCTCGACGTTAAAGAGAAAAACGAGGCGATTATTTAAAAAAAAAAGCTTTAGTGTAAATGGGCATGGAAATAATGGTTAAGCAATTGACACTATAAGTTGTAAATGTAAGTGAAGTATATATCGAAAGACTACAAGTAGGTTTTACTAATAAATTTATCACTATAATGTACATATACGCCACTGAAAGCATCATGGCAAAGAAACCGAAGAACAATTTAGAGAGAGAGAGAGAGAGAAAGCACAAAGAAATTCACTTTTATAAGGATACCCACTTTCGCCCCAGCCCTGGGTTGAACTCTTGACCTACGGAATCTGTCTCCTAGCAGTACAGGAACAGCGCGCTAGACCGCTCGGCTATCTAGGCAAGTCAATAAAACTTGCTTTTTTCGATGCCGATGGAATTCTCGCGGCGCTGCCCTATACTACACGGTCATTGAGGATGGAAGTGAGATACAGTTTTTGGACATTAGTTTTATTAGAAGATCGTTACCAATCTTTGTTGTAAAGAAATTAATTTTTATTTATAAAGCACATTTTACAACAACTCTTGAACTAAGATAACTGCCCTAAGTGAAGAAAATATTAATACAGAAAGCACAAAGACATTCACTTTTATAAGGATACCCACTTCCGCCTTACACTACACGGTAATTGAGAATGTAACGTGTATTGTTAACGATCCTTTAAGGGTTTGGTTTTGTGTGCAGCCAAGTGAGACTCACTAAAAATAAAAACCTTAATATCTCAAAAGTTAAGCCTTGCTAACACTTGAAAACTGGTCCATGTCATCTTCATAATGAAAACAATATCTTGGTATATGCAGCTTAATTGACACTTGCAGCAGTTTGCAGCTATGAAGTGCACAATACACCTGCAGGACTGCGCAGCCACTGGTTTTAGAAGTGCAACCAAAAATTAAAAAAAATATGAAATAGTTAAACCAATTAAGTGGCTACAACTATTTGTGAAAAATATGTACAATTCTTTAAATACATACTTGTTAGTTCAACAAGAAAATGTTAGCCATGGAAGTAGTCCCACCCACATGGCAATGTGTTAAAAATAGAATTAAAGAGACTCACTGTTGATCTAAAAATTAATAGCACTTTATATGAAAGCCCAGATGTATCTAAAGTATTACTCCATGGTGTGTACAAAACACAGGGAATTAATGTTAGAAAAATAATTTTCTCCTTAAAAAATATGCCAAATAAGATGTTAAAAATCTGCAGGGGGGGGGGGGGGAATGAAAGCGTGCAATTTAAATAAGAGGTCTGGCCCACAACGTTCACTTGAGTCACCTTGGTATTCTTCAGATTTCTAAGACATTCTTATCCCCCTTAATTCTCATAAAAACAAATTTGAGCTAATATTGTGGCCCCACCCTGGGGTCATAAGGCCATGTCTAATCCAAAACTGATTCCACAACATGAGGATATTTCATTATCAATATGGCTAACATGGTTTATACGTTTTCTTAAGTTTTTTTTTTCACATGTATACATGCATTTACCAATTTATATATAAAATCTGATCTCAGATTTATTTGAAGAAGAAAAAAATTGAAAAAAAATACGAATAGGGAATATTTTAATATTATTATAACATTAAATCTGACCCATGATTTAGACCAACTTGAATCTTCACTACTTGAGGATGCTTGCATACATTATGAGTAAATCATTACCTTGTTGTTCATTTAAGGACGATTTTTTCCTATATCTATTCCCATGTCAAACTTTGATACCCCTTTTTTAGGGTTTAATTTTTATGGATGACAAATGAACAGACACCAGAGACTCTTTGATCAGAAAAGTTAAATAGAGCCTCTGCTCAGATGAGCTAAAGTGTAAAATGTCTTTGATTATTGTAAAAAGTCACCAAGAAGAACAAAAGAAAAGGATGATAAATGAACTTTTTTAAATTCTTAATCACTTCCAGGATATCATATTTCTTTTAACACGTTAACCAGTATATGCAAGTTTAACTAATTTTTGTGAAAGTTTCTTTAAAGATATAAGGTATGATTTTATAAATAAGCTTCAATTCTAACAATATAACTCTCTAAGATATTTGAGACCTGTGTTCTTAGCATGGGTTTCACAAGAGTGACTTTAAAACATTTTTTTTGCATTCAATGCACTAAACAATAAATTAGATAAAACATTATTATTATAATATCCTGTATCAAGATCCCAAAATGTTCTTCATTGTAAACTCGTGGAAAGTTCAAATATGTATTTTTGTTTGGTCATCATATGTTCTTTTTCAATGATGTTTAGAAAGGTCAATGCATTTGTTCATACAACCATGAAATCAAAAATATTAACTTTCTCAAGTCATATCATATGAAACTAAATCACAGTCTTCACATGTTGCTGATATTTTCTCCAACACTGCTTTCCAAAAGATTAACTATTGAGACAAACAAACATGGACCAAAACCTCTGTCATTTGAATGATCTCCTTAACTTTGAAATCTGTAAAATATTAAATATAAAAAATTATATAGCATACCACTAAAAAACCAATACAGTCGATCACTCTCAAAGAAGGAACTAGAATTGAAAGTTAAATCTTTACATCATGACTAAGTAAAAGGCATACAAAGATGGGCATGTAAATTTCAGGGTCAAAGGCTACACATCCCTCAGCAATGATAGTCACATTGTTAATGTTGATTAACACTGATTGTTGCATTGAATATATCTTATTTTAATTTACAATTAGTAAAGATCAGAATAGTTTAATCCATGTAGAGAATTTTAAAAACCTGATATGATGACGTGTGTTAGTAAGCTACAAGAAGATGATCAGAAACAGTTCCTTCCAAAAGAGATTGATGTTTTCAATTATTTAAACTGATGCGACTTTTCTATTTTCAGTCACTGTTTACCTAACATCTGTTTTTTTTATCGTTAAAGTCAA